CTCCAGAGGGCTCCCCTGCTGGCCTTAAGGGTACTGCTGAGGGAAAAATCTCTGACAGTGCGTGCACGCTGTGCACACACCTACATTGGAATGCATATGAGCAATCACTCAAAGAAGAATAGTAGTTTCTTTTAAAGACTGTTAACATAAGGCAAATGTTAAAATATAATTAAACTTTAATATTTATGGCAATATGTCATTTCACTCATGTTTCTTCTCAGTAGCCCTTTCCTCCAAGATGTTTAAATTGAAGTATTCTCCCTTTGTCTAAGAGTAAATTCTTTCAGTAATACTATAGTTTAATATTTGTATCATCACTATTCACAAGCATATCAAAGTCACTGATATAAAATACAGAACTTAGGAAAAAAACACTGAATAAATCAAGTAGAAGGAGCAAGCTGATTAGGAAGTAGAAAAGCTTCTATTTCAACACCTGTATCATGGTAATCAGCTTTGATAGAATGGCAAATACAGAAGTAGTACATGACAGTTACATGGAGCTTTGCTAAATATATTTTTACAAATGTATGTAAGCATTGCAAAGTCTTTTTAACATTCTATGTTTAAGTTAGCACACTCTGAAGGCTGAAGTACACAAGAATGTAAAATACATACTTAGCCCAATTTGCAGGTACTTTGGTAACTTTAGTAAAGATATACTGATTCATAGATTTTTGTATTTGTTACTTTGTTATCCAGCCAACTATACTTCCTTAAAGAGGGTACCTACTACTCGTAGTGGTAATAATTTCAAGATCACGGCAGAGTTGTAAAGTAATATTGTAAAAAAGTGCAAAAAGTGAACATTTGTTTTCGTAAACATTCAAATGATTTAGGTTGTGGTACCAAATACATTATGAGGAATTAGTCATGTTTTATTATGTCAGCACCACTGCATTATTGCAGCAAAAAATCTCAGGCCTAGATTCTGTTCTACCCCTGAATACGGAGCAGGGAAAATACAAGGAGACTCCAAGCTCCTCAGCTGAACAGAATTGCAAGGCCACCTACATACCCAAGGACAGAACCAGATAAGATACTGGTGTTACCCATCCCAAGGGGCACCTGAGAGAGCCATTCATATAGAACATGGCACTTGTGACAACACCTAGGCTCTTCCTGCTCCTAGGGAGCTCCAAGAAACAGTTTCCCTGAGACATTCACCTCTTCCCCAATGGAGGGCAATGCTTACAAGGCACAGTCTAGCCATTCACAAAGATATAGACACAAATATAAATATACAGTACACACACACGGTATTTATGATGTATTTTAAAGAGACACAAAAGTGATGATGTAGTTAAAATCTTCCAGGGCGCTGTGCTTCTGTCTCTCAGATGAGACATAAAAACAATGGTGCTGTCAACTTGAGGTTATTAAAGAGATCACAGCACTATTACCTTCACAGCATGATGTTACAATTTGTTTAACTGTCTTTTATTAATGTAAATGCACCCAGATGCTATGGCAAAGGCAGCATATTTTTAGAATTCAAATAATAAACATTCACGAGAGTTAGATATCTTAGCCTTAGTGTTCCAGCCAAACTGAAACCTGAGGTCTAGATTCCTGCACTTTACTCATGTTAAGTAGAACTGTACTCCACAAAAACCAAAAACCAACCAACCACTATACAAGAAATACAATGATGGTTGACTTAAGTAGGGGTGCCAGATTTGGGTTTCAAGTAATTACATTCTGCTTACCTAAATTCTCTATGTTGTTTCATGACATATTGGTCATCACTTCCTAACAAACTGTTGTTCATCATTATTGTGTGCTATTAAAATTGGCTCTGTTTTACCTGAGAGGAGATGGCAATTATTTCAATATTCACTGCAAATTATATAGCTTTTACAATCAGAAAGCAACGTTTGTAAGGCACTGTGCAATCCATTTAGATGAGTGATGATTATTAGAAATGTAGTATCATTACTGCTTCTGGGGAAAATATATAAATTATTTGAAAACAGAGAACAAAGTAATAACAATTGTAAACACTAGATACACTTCCATACCCACACGATGGGACAAAGCCTGGGGAATTAACACTCTAAATTCTACAGTGTGACAATTATTCTTCATTAGTAGAGAAATTCCCCCCAAAGGAGATTTATTCTTGTCCATGAAAATTCGTAGCTTATTTTTTTCTGAATTATTTTTTAAAACAGCTTAAAATCTTGGCTCTTCAATTTAAAAATCTTGATTACTGTACCGTCACTACTGGTTTCACTTAAATATCTAATCTGACACAAGGAGGATAGGACCTGTCGTGGGTGCTCTAATATGTAGGGTCCTGTATCTCTCTAATAAAACCTTGCAAAATGTTGCAAAGAAATGAGAATGGCATATTCCCATGTTAACTTGCAACCAGTACTTTATGTTTCAGCCCTTTTTCGCTCATCATATATATGAATGCAAATGTGAATATCAATTATTTATGATTTATGGTACACTGCCCATTTATAACACCATCCCTAGGAATGCAACATAATATGTGTTAAAAATAACAGTTATAATGAGGAAAACAATACCGGGGTTTAATGCTGCTGGAAGCTAAGGTTGAATAGTTTCCTACTACAGTGGTAATCAGTGATGCTTATTAGTGTTGCTGTCCTTTAAAATCTAACAAAGGTTACCTACAAAAATGAAGTATGCTCACTTAGGATATAATACATGAGGTTTCACAAAATCAGTCTTCAAATCTTAGAGCATTTTGCTCAATAACCTTTATAGAACTTAAGTTTGATAGCAGAAATATTCTCTTCAGAAATGTGACTGACAATCTTATATTTAACACCATTCATTTAGGGAAATAAATTATTTGCAGGAAATGTATAATTTATTACAAGCTTTCACTCTTCCATTTGTGTACTTCAACAAGTCTTTAACAACTCTTAAAATTAATCACGTTGAAATTAACAGACATTTACAAACAGAGTAAGCAATTCAAAACATTATATATAGTCAGAAATTAACATGGGGAAAAATTAAACCATGACCATCAAGGACCAAGCTACCTACAGAAAACAAAAGAACAAATTTACAAGTATTCTGGTAGCACTGAAAAAGCATTAGGCACACTATTTACACATACAGGCCATGCCTTAAAGAGCTCATAGCAGTCTTATATGTATGATTACTACAATACAGTATTCTGATTATAGTAGCATTACTTTGTTGGTCATTGTTTTATTAACACTACTGCGCATAATAGGCCTGATCCAAAGCCCACTGAAATGTTTCTGAAAACTAGGCAGCGTCTATTGAAGTCAACATAAAGACCAACAGAGTTGGCATAACTGTGCTCTCATTGAAGCCAATGGAAGCTTTACTTTGGTACAGAATGTTTTTGAAAATTCCACCCAATATGAATCAAGTTTCAAAGGGCAAATCATCCCTTGTCATACACAAGACTTTTATATTTCAAAAAATCTCGCAAAATCGTGGCTCAAGTTTTAGACACTGTGATCATTAAAAAAGCTGTTGCTTTTGCAGATTTTAGTCCAGTCACACATTTTGTGTAGACCTTAGTTAAGAAATGAATTAGTGTTCTTTTTCTTCGGAATAGCAAACAGCTCAGAGTGCTACAAATAAATGCATCATTTACCATACGACTAAGTTTTACACTATTATACACTTGTATCTTCAGGACTGAATGGGAGCACATATGCCTACAGTACACTATCTGGCTCCTACTTCATTTTGAACATCAGAAACTTTTACCACTTGCTACTAGATGAGATACAAGATGAAAAACATTATAGCTGACCATAAAGAGATGTTTCTGACATAAATTAGGCCTTTATCTTGTTTAAAAAGCTATACCACTGAAAAATATAATAAATATCAGTTTTTACAAAAAAGGCCCCTTCCCCCAGGCTCTGTCTCAAAAGCATCCCCTCTCTGTGACGGTATCGGGGTCAAGATTTCATGTAGAAAGTGAAAAATATGCTCTTATACAAGGTAATATAACAAAAAAAATTGTCTTTCTAACTCCACCCCTCTGGAAGAACTGCCATTTGTCAGAGAGCGCAGAAGAGAGACAATGAAGAGAGCAGACCATTCAGAACTAGTTCCTTCCTTTTCCTTTATAAGGCTCAGTTCTATCTTTGAACCGGTGTCATTCCTAACCTATACTAAAACACAGTTCACACACCATGAGTCCATACTTACAAAACCGCCTGGAGGTTTGATTGTCATAATACAGAAACTAACAGTAAGACAACAAAGTTCAACTTAAACTTTGGAGACAGGCTTGCCTACTCCTCAGGACTGCTCAGCCCACACCATATCTCTCTTTTTCCAGAAAGCAACATACCTCAGTGAAACCCATGTATCCTGTTGCCAGCAGGATCAACACCCGCTACTAACTGGTATTAGATATTTCAGGGAAACACTGCCAGTGGGTACAGGGCCACTCACTGTGTAATGACTAATAAACATCACTTGGAACCAGATCCCTGTCTGCTTTCATGAACTGTAAGTAATCAAGGCCCTGATAGATGACCAACTACTGAGTAAGACTTGAACAAACATGAGTCAACCAGATTCCTTGTTAGTGGTGCCTTGCGGTTCCAGTAATTTGTCATCCCCTTTCCAATCTCTCTCACACCTCTAACAAAAATATTGATAGGTTTTAGTTGCCCAAACAGAAAGCTGCATTTACCTGGCTCCAGTGTCCATTATGATCCTAAGCTACTTCAGCACAGGTTATAAAATAGCTCTCCTGCTAGGGTAAGCACCTCATCATTGCAAATGTGTGTTTGGCTCAGCATGTCTGATAGTATATGCTTTTGTGATACTGTCAGATAAGCAGGCTCGTGCCCCCTTTTAAAAGGAAGCCATGGACACTGTGTTTTCTGTGACACATTTTTATTTATTACCAGTTTGGAAGAAGATTGTCCACAATACTGACCACAATTCTTTTTGAGTACAAAAACAAGTGGCAAGTTACTTTTAAAAAGGGATTAGAATCGTAATATCAAAATACTCACAAAAAGCAGCAATAGCAGTGGAGTTATAACGATACCCTGAAAAAAAAAAAGATAATATTTTATTAACCCTGAAAGCAGAATCTTCTCTTTGTCTTAAACCCTGTTGCATGGAAATACATACTTTAAAAAAAATTAATGAAAGGCTAAGTGATAAAGTAGGGAAAAAGTTTAGCTTCATTCCTTACAGTATAGAGTCTTCAGCATCCGTATAGGAATAATTTCTACTCAATGTAGTTATAAGTTTAAATTATATTCCTTGGATCTAGCTTTTTCCTTTTTAGACTGAAGTCTGTCTCTCTCAAACACAGACAATATAGAAGCTCAGACAAGTGTCTTGTGAAGATTTCCCCACCAATGGGTTGTACTTTCACTTGGTTAAGCTGCCCCTCCTGTCAGGGAGACAGGTGGTTCAGTCCCACACTGCCTAATTCATGGTCCTCTCCTGAGCAAAAGCTCCATCAGCTGTGATGAATTAGGTGTCCTGATTTTCTAATGTAAACTAATATCCCTCAGGAAATGAGCTGAGTTCTCAAAACTCATTTCACTTGATTAGACTCCATGTCTCAGTAGAGGAAGGCAAGTCTTTCATCTAATTTAGTCACACAGGACCACCTCAGCTCATCACATCCCCCAGGCACAGACAGGCAAAAGATTTGTTTTCTTCACTGACAGGGAACAGGTTTAAGGCTGATGATTGGACAAAATATAAGATTTTAAGGTTCATGAAAGCAAATCTTAAAATGAATTGTTTGGGTTGGGAGTTAACCTGACATGCTTCACTTTCATAGCTTCAAGTGGTACTTCTCCCTTACCCTTCCATCAGACATCAATATTTTCTTATAATTTAATAAAGCAATCTGTCGTTTAATGCATATTCATTCACAAGTTCCACTTAGAACTTCTTTTCTAAACAAAGGTTATTTGTCTTCACAATATTTATTAGACATCATTAGTCCATTAGTGAGACCCACTCTCAAACTCCATATATGTTTCAAGGGTAAGATGCCAACCTGCTTATACAAATCTAGAATGAATTTGTAAATCTAGAATAACAAATCTAGTTAAAAACCAAGAATAGGTGGAAAATACAAGTTAAAAACAGTGCTCCATTTTTGGTATTATTTTATGATAATGCAACTTTATTCTGTCTCTTCAAAGCTATAAAATCCAATATAAAACTCTTGTTTTATATGCTGTATTTGTATTGCAGCAGCATCCACAGGCCCCAAGCAGGAGAAACTATTGAACCAGACACTTATGAACAAACAGGAAGACCCCATGCTTTTCTTTAAAACTAGATGCATCAAGACACAACAGGAGGGGACAAAGGACAAGGAAAAGAACAATAAGAACAGAAGTAACAAGCTACCTTCACAACTTGAACAAAAATAACAAGCTTGCTGTACATAATTTTAAAGTATTTTTTAAAATAAATAAATGATATATCCTCTCGTTGACAGCCTCTCAATCTTGCCATCACTTGTTAGCTGTGAGTGTCCCAGTAGAGGCAGAGTCTGGAAGGATAGCAAGCAGTGGCTTTAAGGATTATTTCAAGGAGAGTATTTCCTGCATGAGGAGTAGCATGGAACAAAAATGCAGTAATGTTTGTGGGAGACGTACATAAACGAGTAACCAAGGATGGCAACATTTGTGGAGCAGGAAGCAGCAGGTGGAGTGTGGGGGAAGGCATAAGAGCTGAGCAGATATTATGCAAAGTAGTTATTACAACATCTGAAATGATGGGCTACCAAGAAAATCTTTATAGAGGGAATGGCAGTCATTGAATTATTGTATGCCACATAACAAATTCCTGACTGTTACTAGAACTGCTGCGTATATAGACTAGATCCCCCTTCTTCCACTCTGGCTCCTAACAAATACTTTGCACTCAAACTTCCCCTGGCAAATGGGAATCTCCAGAGGGTATAAAGATAGCATAGCTGGCTCTATGACACCCAATTCTGGATCCAAGCACAGAAAGCTTGTCAGGGATACCCAAAGCACCTTGCAATCCAATGATCCCCCCGGTGGAACAGTCCCACTGGTGTCATCAGGCTATTCTAAGGTGCTGAATTAAGGCTTGGCCACGCCTAAAATTCAGGGATCAGAAAGGTGGCTTATATGACTGCATAGTGAGGAATGGCCATAAAATGCCTCATCCTAGGAAGCGTCGGTGAGAGAGACAGAAGGCTTGAGATGGTGCAGTGGAGTGACTGCTCTGTTTAAGCCCCAGTGGCTGTACATCATTCCAAAGACAGCAAGGAGGTTTAGGATCTTTTCCTCACTCCTGCAGCAGCTCAGGATAACAACTCATCATATGTGGGGACTTTGGTTCAGGAATGTGTATAAGCTTTGGGCATATCACCTCCCATGCCCAATAAAGCCTCTGTGCTGAGTCCAGAAATGAGCATCAAAGACCAGCTTTGCTGGCTTTATACCACCTGGGGATTCCCTATTGTCAGCAGCTGTCTCACATAGGAAGAACATAAAGAGAGGTTAAATTATTGTTCTTCTCGTGAGTCTGGGTTGCTGTGGTCCTTTCCTTTGTATTTACTCAACTGTGCTTTTCAGGACAAGGTCTGTGTCTTCCTATGGGTTTGCACAAAACCTAGTAATGGGACTCAGGTTGTGATTAGGTCATTTGGGTGCTAACACAATATTATTGCTGCTTCAAATTCTAAATGGACCATGTATAAAGAAAGAACCCTCTTTTATAGTAATATAAAGGTGGAGGAGAAGTTAGAATATCTCTGTACATGTTGTAGATTCCTGACTGACTGCTTTGTTGAAAATCTAGCTCCCAAAGGGCAATTCAAGCAATGCTTAGGGTAAGTTTTAGGACCAGCTCTGATGACCTTAATAAACTCAGGACTGAGGTACATGCAGTCTCTACACAATCAATATGTATAGGGCCAAATTCCGCTCTCAGTTCAACACAATCAATACCCAATAACAAAGATGAGGGGACAATTTTTACAGCAGGGGAGCCGAGAGCCATTGAATCACAGTGTAAACCCTGAATATAATGAAAACCACTTCAATCCAAGGGCACCCCCCACATCCTTAGTTCCAGCACCCTATGTCTACGGAAATTCATGGGAGCCACACACATTTATCTTAGGGCATGACTGTCTCATATTTAAGAAAACAGTTACTTGATGTTATCATTTTATTTAGATAAATAGCATCAGTTTCTGCACACACAAAGGTTTAAATTAAAGCCATATTCCTTTTCATTAAGCAGCTCTCTTCAAATGCAACATTATTATATTTCTGAATCACAGAATGGGAAACTAACATGTACCAATCTAAAAGTTACTGGTAAAAAGTACAGACAAAGGTTTAGATTTCAGAGATAAAACCAAAACATTGGTTCATTACAGAATAAGCAATTAAATAAACCATAGGAAAATAGTTGCTATTCAGTGCTGCCCAAAGTACTGTAAGAACAGGATGTGAACTATAACCTGTCATTGCTGCAGTACCAGTTACTGAATGCCACAAAGGGAAATACCTCATTTCTAGTCCACTGCACACAAACACCAACAGGAAGAAAAAATAAATAAATATGGACTACTCTTTTCCCTTCCTCACTTTTTCTGAGCAAGTGCTGTCAAGCACATAGTGTATGGAGATAAACAGATTGTAGATTAGCACTTCCAGCAGAAGTTGAACATCTGCCCTTGTGGATGCAAGGTCACCACACAGTTTTAGCATCCTCAAAGTTAGGGTGGAATGTTAAGCCCTTTCTGTGTAGCCCATAATGGAATCTAAGTTGTAAAGTGACTGCTGTTTGCTATCTGCAGAAAAACTTTCAAGAAATCCATTTGCACCTCTGATGTGAAAGACTGACTGAATATATTTCAATGACTTTAGTGGGAAGGCTGGGGGAGAGAATCACAGCCTGACCTAAAACACTGATACAAAGTACAATTCTGCATAAAATCAGTCACATTGGAAACCTGTAAATGCACTTCCCTTTACAGTAAGGATCACAAAACATGTCACAGTTAAGAAAGCTAGTTACGTTTTTAAATGTTTTAAAATAGAAAACAGGTACTGAGAGATGCATTTTACTATAGTTCCATTGCAAAGAATGAGTTCAAAAAGAGATCATCCTGGTTTTCTCTATCTGCTTCCTCCAGTATACCATTGCCCCATCTTGGTTACTGAAAGATATCTTCTTCTGTGACAGAACACATACATATAATACATGGAACTGGCTGCAAAACTGCATAGCAAGAGGAAAAAGGATTTTACAGCCATAATAGCTAATCATTAGGAACAAATGATCTTTATGGCTATAAGCAGCAGGCCACCTGATGGAAGAGGTGTACGGAAGTGTTACTTAAACCTTTTAAGACCGAGGAACACCAAACAATTTTTTTTATGAGAAACACCAAGGATTTTTTTCGTTGAGAGAAAAAAAAGGGTCGGGGGAAAGTTATTGGGGAAAAAAAAGTTTGCCTGCCCCTCTAAGGGCGGCCATTTTGAATTCTGTTGTTCTCCGCGGTACACCTTCGACGGCCTCATGGCACACTGGTGTGCTGCGGAACACAGTTTAAGAAACACGGGTGTAGGGTGTAATTGCAGTGATGCAATGAGAGGCAGACTTTCTTTAGACTTCTTTGTCCACAAATTTGCCATGATATTTGTTTTGCCAACATTAGACAGTCAGTGATACCTGTTTGAGAGGACAATCAATGAATTTATCTTTGCACGTAGCCTTTAATCCAGTGTTTCTTAAACTGTGTGCCATGAGGAAATTGGAGGTGTGCCACAGAGAACAGAATTAAAATGGCCCCCTTAAAGGGGCAGAAGACCTTTTTTTCCCCTTTTCTCAATAACGTTCCCCAATCCTTTTTTTCCCTCATTAACTTTCAGTTAAATGTAGAATTGTCATCCTCACCATATCATCTAGTTCTTCCTCTAATTTATCTGCATCATATAAGTGTCATCTGGATCTAGTATCAGCCAGCTAATCCTCACTGATGCCAGGGTTTCACTAACACTGTTTGAGTGAGGTGCGATGGAAA